TTTCATGAGACTGAGTGATATTTCATTATACTGCAGGGTATATCTTGGTTTAAATACTGTGGTAAAGCTTCTGCTTGTCTTTATTTACATTTACCAACTCTCACATGGAAGAGCAGAGAATACTGTAGTAGTATGGAGAGAGTTCAAAGATATCACAGACCTATAGAATAACCCTGAGATGGCAACCCAGTTTGAGACAAATGCCATACTTACCCTCCCATCATTTTCAATGTGATATCTTGGGATCAACAAATTGAGTAGAGCAGCGACTGAGCTTACAGTGGATGTGGAGGTGAGAGCAGGAGGGGCAGAGCAGGTGGGAAAAGATGCTGAGGGAGCAGGGTCTGACTTATCTCTGTCACAGGTGCCATCTTGGAAGAAAGGCAGGATGTATTTTTAATCTATCCATCAGTCCCAAGGTGAGTGAAGCCAAGAGGCAATGCTCTCACCTGTCCTTCCTGCTTCTCGTCCTCTGCCCGACTCAGGAGGAAGCCTTCCGCCAGGGCCACCGCCTGGGAAGAGGTCTCTGCCCCACACTCTCGGACCCAGCTCCCCATCTCTGGGGGCAGGATGCTCAGGAACTGCTCCAGGATCACCAGGTCCAGCATCTCCGCCTTGGTGTGTTGCTCTGGCTTCAGCCACTGGCGGCAGAGAGAGTGGAGGCGGCTGCAAACCTCTCTGGGCCCCTCGCCCTCTCGGAAGGAGGAATGCCTGAAGCGCTGGCGCTGTGTGTCTGAGCTATAAAGGTCCACACTCAGACTTATGTGCACTTTCCCCCCAGGATGCCCCACTGCTCCCAAGTCCAGATTCAATTCCAGGTGAGTTGGGTCTCTCCATGTTGGCACCACTGTTTGGTGAAGAAGCAAACTGGACCCAAGATGCTTTCCTCCTCCTCTTCGTTTCCCTGAACAGGCTCTACTCCAACATTCTCAGACAACAATCACTTTTCCTCTGTGAAAGAAAAGCAGAATTAGACTCCCAGGAGAAGAGGAGGCCAAGGAAGGATGACCTGCTCTGGAGGACTGGGCTCCTCCTCCTCCTTGCCATCCTTCCTTCCTTCCTCTCTAGGAATCCAACCTCCCTCCCCTTAACCCTTCCTTGACCCATTCAGATGCAGGGCTGTCTCACAAGCATTCAACTATTTTGGGAAGATACATCCTGTTCAATGTTTTGATCAGAGCAGCACTGAGGGAGGCCTTGGGACAGACTAAACTTCATGTTTCAATGGGAAGCTCCTCTATTATCATCCAACTCATTCTCATCTATTAGCATCCAACTAATTCCAGCAGTGCTGCAGAATTTGAAGAGGCTCAAATGGAGGGTGAAAGAGAGAAAGGTGCCAAGAGGAAGGCGCGTCAAGCCAACCCCGATCGAGACCGCCTTCCACCTGGAAACCAATGCCCTCACTGCAGGAGAAGATGGAGATCAAGAATAGGGCTCCACCAGGCCTGTAGCGAGGGGGAGGGGTTAGGGGTTCAACCCCCCCCCCCGAAATGTTTCAGATTTTTAAAAAACCTGGTTTACTCATGAATTTTAACTGGTTAACCAAATCCCCATGCTAAGTCTATGAGATGCAAAAAATTAAGAGTCCCTCCAGAACTGCAAGCACTATCTCAGGCAAATATTGACAATTTATTCACACTGTTTGGGACCCGCCTACCTGCGTGACCGCATCTCTGTGTACGAACCCACACGATCTCTTCGTTCATCTGGAGAGGCCCTACTCACGATCCCACCTGCATCGCAAGTGCAATTGGCGGGGACGAGGGATAGGGCTTTCTCGGTGGTGGCCCCTCGACTCTGGAACTCTCTCCCTTAGGACATCAGGCAAGCCCCAGCCAGGATAACTGCATGCCCATCCCCCTCCAAACACCTACCCTTTTCACCTGGTCATGCCCAGCACTTTTTAATTTTAATTATTACATTTGGCCCTGCCACAGATTTTAATTGCGTCATGGTGTGTTGTTAATGTTATTGCCTTGTTTTTGAGTTATTTTGCTGTATTGTTGTTGTTGTTTTTACTGTTGTATTTGGGCTCGGCCTCTTGTAAGCCGCACCGAGTCCTCCGGGAGATGGTAGCGGGGTACAAATAAAGGATTATTATTATTATTATTATTATTATTATTATTATTGTCATTGTGGGGTGTGTGTGTTGAATGCTCTCATTAAGGAGGCCAGACTTGGTGGAGGTGGTTGACAAGGGCAGAGCTGCAGGCTATTGAAGGCTGCTCTGCCCCCTGCTGTGCTCTTTGCTTCAGCGTGAGCTAGGAGGCAGGTTTCAAACACCCCTCCCCAAAAAATTTTCAACCCCCCCCCCCCAATTTCAACCCCTCCACAGTCACCTACGGATCCACAAGAATACTGATCCTGGAAGGCTATCCTACTTGGCCAACGAAGGATCACCTAAGTCATTCTCATCAATGTGAAGAAAGGTTTTCTCCAGCAACTGGAAAGTGACATTTCACTGGCTATTTATGGGATGAAGCCACTTCAATGGTCTAGAGCAGTGTTTCTCACCCTTCCTAATGCCGCGACCCCTTAATACAGTTCCTCATGTTGTGGTGAGCCCCAACCATAACATTGTTTTCGTTGCTACTTCATAAGTGTAATTTTGCTACTGTTATGAATCATAATGTAAATATCTGATATGAAGGATGTATTTTCATTCAATGGGCCAAATTTGGCACAAATACCCGATACACCGAAATTTGAATGCTGGTGGGGTTGGGTGGGATTGAGTTTGTCATTTGGGAATTGTAGTTGCTAGGATTTATAGTTCATCTACAATCAAAGAATATTCTGAACTTCACCAGCAATGGCATTGAACCAAACTATGCAGACAGAACTCCCAAGACCAACAGAATACTGGAAGGGTTTGGTGGGCATTGACCTTGAGTTCTGGACTTGTAGTTCCCATATGTCCATAGAGCACTGTGAACTCAAACGATGATGGATTTAGACCAAACTTGGCAGATAAAAGGTAAAAGTTTTCTCCCGACATTAAGTTCAATTGTATCTGACTCTGAGGGTTGGTGCTCATCTCAATTTCTAAGCCAAAGAGCCGGCGTTGTCCGTGGACAGTGCCAAGGTCAATGTAGCCAGCATGACTGCATGAAGCACCATAACCTTCCCATGGTACCTATTGATCTACTCACATTTGTATGTTTTTGAACTGTTAGGTTGGCAGAAGCTGGGACTAACAGCGGGAGCTCACACCACTGCCTGGATTCGAACCTGCAACTTTGCAGACAACAGGTTCAGCAGCTCAGTTGTCTAACCCACTGTGCCATGGGGGCTCCAAACTTGGCACGAATACTCAATATTCCCAAATGTGAACACTGGTGCAGTTTGGAGAAAATAGATCTTGACATTTGGGAGTTGTAGTTGCTGGGATTTATAGTTCACCTACAATCAAAGACCATTGTGAACCCCGCCAACAATATAATTGGGCAGACTTCCCACACTGAACCTCCATGCCTTGAAGGGACTCACAAGCAAAAGCCTCCCTCCAGTCTCGCACACTCTCCCTTGTCTGCACATGCGCACCGAGCACTCCTGCTCTCCCCTCCCCTGCTTGGAGTCTCAGAAACAGCCCTCCACTTGGCTTAGAAGCTGACCAATCACAGCAAAGGAGATTTGGTGGGAGGATTTGCTGTCAGTTTCCAAAAAGGAAAAGAAGGACAGGCAGAGAGATCTTCAGTCTTCTTTGCCAAAGGGCATCTTAAGACCATCAGAAAATATGTGTTTTCTGAGGGTCTTTGGTGACCCCTCTGAAACCCCCTCGCAACCCCCACAGGTTGAGAAACGCTGCTCTCTAGCCTCAGAGGCCATCTACATTGCTGTATAAGATCCAGCTTATCATAACTTGATAATATGGCAGTGCAGACTCATTTAACTCAGTTCGAAGTAGATAGTGTGGCATTGTAGAAGGGGCCTCAGTCTCACTTCCCCGTCTGTAGTGGTCTGCCATTAGACAATAACATCACATTGCATCAGCCATCAGATGATCACATGAGGTAATATAAGGGACCCTGATGTTCAAAGGAAGTACAATCTTTTCTGGATTTCATATTCTGCTCATGTTTTAAATGTTTTCTTGTGCCGCACATTTCCTTTTCCGTTTCTGAGTAAGATGTCTCTATGCCCCAGAGTTGGAAAACTTGTATTTATTATACAAACTTTAGGATTGTTACTCTACACCAGTGTTTCTCAACCTTCCTAATGCCGTGACCCCTTAGTACAGTTCCTCATGTTGTGGTGACCCCCAACCATAACCCTAACATTATGAATCGCCATGTAAATAATGATCTGCAGGATGTACTTTCATTCTCTGGAGCAAATTTGGCACAAATACCCAGCATGCCCAAATTTGAATACTGGGGGGATTGGTGGGGGGATTGATTTTGTCATTTGGGAGTTGTAGTTGCTGGGATTTACAGTTAACCTGCAAACAAAGAGCATTCTGAACCCCGCCAACAATAGAATTGAACCAAAGTTGGCACACAGAACTCCCATGACCAACATAAAATACTGGAAGGGTTTGGTGGAAATTGACCTTGAATTTGGGAGTGGTAGTTCGCCTACATCTAGAGAGCACTGTGGGCTCAAACAATGATGGATCTGGACCAATACTGTCACGGATACTTAATATGCCCAAATGTGAAAACTGATGAGGTTTGGGAAAAATATACTTTGACATTTGGGAGTTGTACTTACTGGGATTTATAGTTCGCCTACAATCAAGGAGCATTCTGAACCCCACCAATGATAGAATTGGGCCAAAGTTCCCACACAGAACCGCCATGACCAACAGAAAATACTGTGTTTTATGATGGTCTTTGGTGACCCCTCTGACACACCACCCCCAGGATGAGAAACACTGCTCTACACGGAAACATCTGTTTCCTTACAATGCAAAACCCAAAGGCATGAATTTTGCAAAATTTGCAAAATTTCTCACAGACAGTTTGATTCAAATACTCAAAATAGGTTATCATAGATTCAAATACTCATATAATACTGTACATTCCAAAATAATACAACGGCTCATGTTTTTCTGTCTACTGTGGATTAGCAGAGTGCCAGGAGCAAGTTAACAGCCAGTAAATTCTACCGAGAGATACAATTTGTACACATCAAGGGAAATAATAGTGGAAACATCTCTTCCTTTACTATTGGTTGTTTGGTATTGATGTTTGTTTTAGATAGTGTTTAATGTTGTTGTTTTGATTTCCTTATATTCTTTCTTGTTATTATTTTGTCGATATGCATTGTAAGGGGACTTTACCAAGTCTGAAGCAGAACTTCTCAAACAGTCCTGTTTGAAATCACATGTTTACACACAAAGGCTGTTTTGCAGCCTGTTTGTATTCACTGTTTTTTGTTAACAGATAGAGTCTGAGTAAAACACTTCCTCCGGGCATTAGTAAGGATTCTCTCCTGTGTGGAGTCATTTTTGGCTCAAAAATTGTGAACTGTCAGCAAAACATTTCCCACTCTCTTCACATAGATATGATTTCCCTCCTGTGTGGGATCTCCAGTGGTCAATAAGGGGTGTATTCTGTGTAAAACATTTTCTACACTCTTGGCACTTTTACTCTTTCTTTCCTGTGTGAAGTTTTTTATGCCTCATCAATTGTGAACTCTGAGTAAAACATTTCCCACACTCCTGGCATTTGTATGGCTTCTCTCCTGTGTGGAGTCTTTTGTGTCTCACCAAGTGTGAACTGTAACCAAAACATTTCCCACACTCCTGGCATTGGTATGGCTTCTCTCCTGTGTGGACTCTATTGTGGCCCACCAAGAGTGAACTGCGAGCAAAACATTTCCCACATTCCTGGCATTTGTATGGCTTCTCTCCTGTGTGGAGTATTTTGTGGCTCACCAAGTGTGAACTGCAACCAAAACATTTCCCACACTCCTGGCATTCGTATGGCTTCTCTCCTGTGTGGAGCTTTTTGTGCCCCACCAAGATTGAACTGTCAGCAAAACACTTCCCACACTCCTGGCATTTGCTTGGCTTTTCTCCTGTGTGGACTATTTTATGCCTCACCAAATCTGAACTGGAAGCGAAACATTTCCCACACTCCTGGCATTTGTATGGCTTCTCTCCTGTGTGGAGTCTTTTGTGTCTCACCAAGTGTGAATTGTAACCAAAACATTTCCCACACTCCTGGCATTGGTATGGCTTCTCTCCTGTGTGGACTCTATTGTGGCCCACCAAGAGTGAACTGCGAGCAAAACATTTCCCACATTCCTGGCATTTGTATGGCTTCTCTCCTGTGTGGAGTATTTTGTGGCTCACCAAGTGTGAACTGTAACCAAAACATTTCCCACACTCCTGGCATTGGTATGGCTTCTCTCCTGTGTGGAGCTTTTTGTGCCCCACCAAGGTTGAACTGTCAGCAAAACATTTCCCACACTCCTGGCATTTGCTTGGCTTTTCTCCTGTGTGGACTATTTTATGCCTCACCAAATTTGAACTGGAAGCGAAACATTTCCCACACTCCTGGCATTTGTATGGCTTCTCTCCTGTGTGGAGTCTTTTGTGTCTCACCAAGTGTGAATTGTAACCAAAACATTTCCCACACTCCTGGCATTGGTATGGCTTCTCTCCTGTGTGGACTCTATTGTGGCCCACCAAGAGTGAACTACGAGCAAAACATTTCCCACATTCCTGGCATTTGTATGGCGTCTCTCCTGTGTGGAGTCTTTTGTGGCTCACCAAGTGTGAACTGTAACCAAAACATTTCCCACACTCCTGGCATTGGTATGGCTTTGCTCCTGTGTGGACTCTATTATGGCTCACCAAGTTTGAACTGCGACCAAAACATTTCCCACACTCCTGGCATTGGTATGGCTTCTCTCCTGTGTGGAGTTTTTTGTGCCCCACCAAGGTTGAACTGTCAGCAAAACACTTCCCACACTCCTGGCATTTGCTTGGCTTTTCTCCTGTGTGGACTATTTTATGCCTCACCAAATCTGAACTGGAAGCGAAACATTTCCCACACTCCTGGCATTGGTATGGCTTTGCTCCTGTGTGGACTCTATTATGGCTCACCAAGTTTGAACTGCGACCAAAACATTTCCCACACTCCTGGCATTGGTATGGCTTCTCTCCTGTGTGGACTCTATTGCGGCCCCCCAAGAGTGAACTGCGACCAAAACATTTCCCACACTCCTGGCATTTGTATGGCTTCTCTCCTGTGTGGATTCTTTTGTGCCTCACCAAGTATGCACTGGAAGAAAAACATTTCCCACACTCCTTGCACTGGTATGGTTTCTCTCCTGTGTGAAGTTTTTTATGCCTCATCAATTGTGAACTCTGAGTAAAACATTTCCCACACTCCTGGCATTTGTATGGCTTCTCTCCTGTGTGGAGTCTTTTGTGTCTCACCAAGTGTGAACTGTAACCAAAACATTTCCCACACTCCTGGCATTGATATGGCTTCTCTCCTGTGTGGACTCTATTGTGGCCCACCAAGAGTGAACTGCGAGCAAAACATTTCCCACACTCCTGGCATTTGTATGGCTTCTCTCCCGTGTGGAGTCTTTTGTGGCTCACCAAGTGTGAACTGTAAACAAAACATTTCCCACAATCCTGGCATTTGTGTGGCTTTTCTCCTATGTGCAGTCTTCTGTGGCTCACCAAGTGTGAACTGTGAGCAAAATATTTCCCACACTCCTTGCATTGGTATGGCTTCTCTCCTGTGTGGAGTTTTTTGTGCTTCATCAAAGTTGAACAGTCAGCAAAACACTTCTCACACTCCTGGCATTTGTATGACTTTTCTCCTGTGTGGAGTCGTTTGTGCTTCACCAAGTCTGAACTGTGTGCAAAACATTTCCCACACTCCTTGCACTGGTATGGTTTCTCTCCTGTGTGGAGTTTTTTGTGGCTTACGAATTGTGAACTGGAAACAAAACATTTCCCACACTCCTTGCATTGGTATGGTTTCTCTCCTGTGTGGAATTTTTTGTGCCCCACAAAGGTTGAACTGTCAGCAAAACATGTCCCACACTCCTGGTTTATGAAATCCCCAGTTCCTTCAGAGATTTCTTCTTGGCTCAGATCTGGCGGTTTGTAATCAGCAATACATTTTGCTGGTACTTTCAACTGACAATGGCTTTTCCCAGCATTGAGTGTATTATGAAGTATTAGTCCCATATTTTGGATAAAATACTGCCCACATACATTGCATTTGTAAGGCCTTTCTCTGGCAGAAGCTCCATCTTCCCTGTAGGTTTGCTGGTGTCTAGGAAGGCCCCCATTGTGTCCCAAATGTTTGGTGTTCCGGTTATCTGCTGTGAAGGAGGAGGACAGAAACAATCATTCTTTTGTGTGAGTGATAACGACTCTAGGGAAGTGGTGTAAGAAGGAGATTGAAACGATACTTTATACAACATAGATAAGGGAAAAAGAAGATATAACTGCTGTCCTCTCCCCACCCCTTGTTCAGTAAGGATGGATACTGTTTAACTGCCTAGAGCCTCTAAGGGAGAGGTGAGTAGCATATGCTCCAAAGGCTATGTTTTCCTCAGCCTAGCTTGGCTTTGTATTCTGTCTCCTCCTTCCTGGGAGAATGGATGACTTTTCCCTTCTCATTCAAAGGCTTTCCTTTTTTTCTAGCTAAAACTATGCCTTTCTATCACCCATTTCACAATCGTTCCCTCCTTTTTATCCCTCCCCCCAAGACTGTAAAGAAAAAGGGGAGAACAATGATGAAGGCAGAGAAGGGAAGGAAAAAAGGAATGTCTGCAAGACTTGGCCAGATATGGTGACATCCACATAACACTGCACTTGACATCGGTTTTGAGAGACAGGAGAGTGCCTCCAAACCATCCTGGATGGCCCACGAGGTCTCTTCCAACTCAATGATTCTATGAATATTAAAATGTCCAACAGGTTACCATACAGACATCACACATGAAGAAAGTAAAACACAACAGCCACAGTCCCAACTGAAACCCTAAGAAAGTCCAAATGGAAGTTTAGAACAGGAAGGGAACTTGAATAGTTCCTAATACATGCCACCTTGAAATAGCAAATCAGCTGAGAGAAAAGAAGGGAGATTTTTCTCTGTATCAGAAAGACTAAGGGACTCATACATTACTAGTATCTCATATATTTCTAACATAAGCCCTGCCTTGAGGACCCTCTGTGACTGGGATGACTTAAGATACTGCTCACACTAAGGAGCTGTTGACTGGGAAAGTGCATTTTGAAACAGAAATCCCCATGAGTGAGGGAGCCTTACCAAGAGAGTCCACCATCCCATGAATCTCCTCCATGATCTGCACGTGCAAGGCTTTCTGACCAGGATTCAGGAGAACCCACTCCTCCAAAGAAAAATGGACAGCCACGTCCTCAAAGGCAATTGGGCCCTGGTGGAAAAAGAACACATTTCCTTCTCACATTAAGGGCTATCAAGGAAAATAATTACAAGAATCTCTTTGAAATGATGTACGTTTCTGTTGGTTCAATCTTTTCTGTTTCACAGTGTTTCCTGTTCAACATTTTTATTAATGACTTAGACAAAGAGTTAGAAGGCAAGATCATCAAGTTTGCAAACGACAGTAATTGGGAGGGAGAGCCAATACTCCCGAGGACAGGAGCAGGATTCAAAACTATCTTGACAGATTAGAGAGATGATTGGCCAAAACTAACAAAATGAAATTCAACAGGGACTCAGCTTAGGCAGGAAAAACGAAATGCAAAGATACAGAATGGGGGACGTGTGGCTCGAGAGCAGAACATGTGAAAAAGATCTTGGGGTCCTTGTGGGGACAAGTTAAACATGAGCCAACAATGTAATTTGGTGGCAAAAAAGCTAATGGGATTTTGGCCTGCATCAATGGGAGTCTAGTGTCTAGGTCTAGGGAAGTCATGCTACCCCTCTATTCCCTTGGTTAGACCACACCTGGAATATTGTGTCCAATTCTGGGCACCACAATTGAAGAGAAATATTGACAAGCTGGAATGTGTCCAGAGGAGGGGGACTAAAATGATCAAGGGTCTGGAGAACAAGCCCTATGAGGAGCGGCTTAAGGAGCTGGGCATGTTTAGCCTGAAGAAGAGAAGGCTGAGAGGAGACATGATAGCCATGTATAAAAATGTGAGAGGAAGTCACAGGGAGGAGGGAGCAAACTTGTTTTCTGCTTCCCTGGAGACTAGGATACAATGGAGCAATGGCTTCAAATTACAAGAAAGGAGATTCCATCTGAACATGAGGATGAACCTCCTGACTGTGAGAGCCATTCAAAAGTGGAACATTCAGACCCGGAGTGTGGTGGAGGCTGGATAGCCATCTGTTGGGACTGCTTCTTGGAAGGGGGTTGGACTGGATGACCCAACTCTATGATTCTATGGCTTCAAACTCCAGGAAAGGATATTCCACCTGAACATTAGCAAGAACTTCCTGACTTTAAGAGCCGTTCAGCAGTGGAACTCTCTGTCCCGGAGTGTGATGGAGGCTCCTTCTTGGAAGCTTTTAAACAGAGGCTGGATGGCCATCTGTCGGGAGTGCATTGAGTGCAATTTTCCTGTTTCTTGGCAGGGGGTTGGACTGGATGACCCACAAGGTCTCTTCCAACTTCTATGATTGAGCTTGGAACCAATGACCTCCCAGGAAGCTCCAGTCCTCCTCTCCCAGGAATCCTTTTGCTTACCTCATTCAGTTCCACTCCATCACAAAAGGGAAGACTCGACTGAGAATTCGGCAAAAACATCATTTCAGTCCCTGGGAGAGAGAGAGAGAGAGAGAGAGAGAGCAAGGGGTGGAAAGCTGATCACATAGACATGTCTCCGATGTGACAATTGTTGTTGTTCATTCGTTCGGTCGTCTCCGACTCTTCGTGACCTCATGGACCAGCCCACGCCAGAGCTCCCTGTCGGCCGTTACCACCCCCAGCTCCCTCAAGGTCAGTCCAGTCACTTCAAGGATGCCATCCATCCATCCATCTTGCCCTTGGTCGGCCCCTCTTCCTTTTGCCTTCCACTTTCCCCAGCATAATTGTCTTCTCTAGGCTTTCCTGTCTCCTCATGATGTGGCCAAAGTACTTCAACTTTGTCTCTAGTATCTTTCCCTCCAGTGAGCAGTCGGGCTTTATTTCCTGGAGGATGGACTGGTTGGATCTTCTCGCAGTCCAAGGCACTCTCAGCACTTTCCTCCAACACCACAGCTCAAAAGCATCGATCTTCCTTCGCTCAGCCTTCCCTAAGGTCCAGCTCTCACATCCGTAGGTTACTACAGGGAATACCATGGCTTTGACTAGGCGGATCTTTGTTGCCAGTCTGATGTCTCTACTCTTTATATTTTATCGAGATTGGACATTGCTCTCCTCCCAAGAAGTAAGCGTCTTCTGATTTCCTGGCCACAGTCTGCACCTGCAGTAATCTTTGCACCTAGAAATACAAAGTCTGTCACGGCCTCCACATTTTCTCCCTCTATTTTCCAGTTGTCAATCATTCTTGTTGCCATAATCTTGGTTTTTTTGACGTTTAGCTGCAACCCGGCTTTTGCGCTTTCTTCTTTCACCTTGATTAGAAGGCTCTTCAGCTCCTCCTCGCTTTCGGCCATCAGAGTGGTGTCATCTGCATATCTGAGGTTGTTAATGTTTCTTCCAGCAATTTTCACCCCAGCTTTGCATTCATCCAGCCCCGCACATCGCATGATGTGTTTGCATACAAGTTAAAAAGGTTGGGTGAGAGGATGCAGCCTTGCCGTACGCCTTTCCCAATCTTGAACCAGTCTGTTGTTCCGTGGTCAGTTCTGACTGTTGCTACTTGGTCCTTGTACAGATTCCTCAGGAGAGAGACAAGGTGGCTTGGGATGCCCATCCCACTAAGAACTTGCCACAATTTATTATGATTCACACAGTCAAAGGCTTTAGAATAGTCAATGAAGCAGAAGTAGATGTTTTTCTGAAACTCCCTGCCTTTCTCCATTATCCAGCGGATATTGGCAATCTGGTCTCTCGTTCCTCTGCCTTTTCTAAACCCAGCTTGAACATCTGGCAACTCTCGCTCCATGTATTGCTGGCGTCTTCCTTGCAGGATCTTGAGCATTACCTTACTGGCATGAGAAATAAGGGCCACTGTACGGAAGTTTGAGCAGTCTTTCGCATTTCCCTTTTTTGGTATGGGGATATAAGTTGATTTTTTCCAGTCTGATGGCCATTCTTGTGTTTTCCATATTTGCTGGCAAATGGCATGCATCACCTTGACAGCATCATCTTTTAAGATTTTAAACAGTTCAGCTGGGATCCCGTCGTCTCCTGCTGCCTTGTTGTTAGCAATGCTTCTTAAGGCCCATTCAACCTCACTCCTCAGGATGTCTGGTTCCAATTCATTCACCACACAGTCAAAACTATCCTCAATATTATTATCCTTCCTATACAGATCTTCTGTATAGTCTCGCCACCTTCTCTTGATCTCTTCAGCTTCTGTTAGATCCCTGCCATCTTTGTTTCTTATCATACCAATTTTTGCCTGAAATTTACTTCCAATGTTTCTAATTTTCTGGAAGAGGTCTCTTGTCCTTCCTATTCTGTTGTCTTCTTCCACGTCCATGCATTGCTTATTTAAAAATAGTTCCTTATCTCTTCTGGCTAACCTCTGGAATTGCGCATTTAACTGGGCATATCTCCCCTTATCCCTGTTTCCTTTTGCTTTCCTCCTTTCTTGGGCTACTTCCAGTGTCTCAGCAGACAACCATTTTGCCTTCTTGGTTTTCTTTTTCTTTGGGACGTACTTTGTTGCCGCCTCCTGAACAATGTCTCGGACTTCTGTCCATAGTTCTTCTGGGACTCTGTTTACCAAATCTAGTCCTTCAAATCTGTTCTTCACTTCCACTGTATATTCGCTAGGAATGTTAGTGAGATCATATCTAACTGGTCTGTGTATTTTCCCTGATCTCTTTAGTTTTATTCTAAATTGGGCAATAAGAAGTTCGTGATCTGAGCTACAGTCAGCCCCAGGTCTTGTTTTCACCGACTGGATGGATGTCCGCCACCTTTGGCTGCAAAGGATGTAGTCAATCTGATTTCGGTGTTGACCATCTGGTGAGGTCCATGTATAAAGCCGTCTTTTAGGTTGGTGGAAGAGAGTATTCGTTATACACAGCGAGTTTTCCTGGCAAAATTCTATCAGCCTGCGTCCCGCTTCATTTTGTTCTCCCAGACCATGCTTGCCTGTGATCCCTGTTGTCATTTGACTTCCCACCTTCATTCCAGTCTCCTGTAATGAAAATAATGTCTCTTTTTGGTGTATTATCCAGTAGGTCCTGCAGATCCTCATAGAACTGATCTACTTCTGCTTCTTCAGCAGCTGTGGTTGGGGCGTATATTTGGATCACTGTAATGTTGAAAGGCTTTCCTTGCACTCGAATTGAGATCATTCTGTCACTATTTGGGTTGTATCCAAGCACCGCTTTAGCGAATTTCTTATTAATTATGAAGGCTACTCCATTTCTTCGATGTTCCTCTTGTCCGCAGTAGTAGATCTGGTGGTCATCTGATGTGAAGTGGCCCATTCCAGTCCATTTCAGTTCGCTGACCCCCAGAATGTCTATCTTTAGTCTTGACATCTCACCAATAACAACATCCAATTTGCCCTGGCTCATAGCTCTTACATTCCAGGTTCCTATGGTGTGTTGATCTTTAGAGCATCGGATTCGTCGTTCACCTCCAGTACCGTCGGCCGCTAGCCTTCCTTTCGGCTTTGAGCTAGCTGCGTCATCACATCTGGGGCTAGTTGAACTTATCCTCTGCTCCTCCCCAGTAGCATTTTGGCCATCTTCCGACCTGGGAGTCCCATCTTCCAATGGCATACCGACATATCTCTGGTTGTACTGGTCCATTTAGTTTTCTTGGCAAGGATACTGGAGTGGTTTGCCATTACCTTCCCCAGGGATCACGCTTGGTCTGACCTCTCTGCCACGACCGTCCCGTCTTGGGTGGCCCTTCACGGTTTCGCTCATGACATCATTGAGGTGCTCAAGCTCCAGCGCCCCGACAAGGCGGTGACCCTTTGCTGGAGCCAACTCTATGACCCAACTCTATGATTCTATGGCTTCAAACTCCAGGAAAGGATATTCCACCTGAACATTAGCAAGAACTTCCTGACTTTAAGAGACTTTAAGATGTGACAATTACAGTCCTGAAAAGAAACCTATGAGAAAATGGCCCTCTGAACACAGGAGCATTCTCCAGCCCAGGAATATGTAAAGTCTTGGAGTTTAGGCCATTTCATCTCAAACAGTGCTTTAAGTAGCTTGGATCGAAAATAGCACTGGCCTTCGTATTTCAATTGACTAGAGTTATTCTTTGTGGTCTGTTGGTCTTCCAGCTCAGTTTTAGGCCTCATCTTGGCTTTGGGTCCCAACTGGGAAGACACTCAAAGACTGAATTTTCAGTCAGATCCAACTTTAGTTTAATGTACAAGTATTGCAAGAAAGAAAACTGCAAATCCCAATGAAATCACACCTTTTGAAACCAAATGCCTACCTATATCCTCCTCTCAAGGTCAAATGATCCTGGATGTGCACAATCTCAATCTCCAATTGATGGGGATGTGCCACAATACCTCACAATCCCAGCATAAAAGAGGAAAACACCCCAAAAGGTTCCTTCTTACCCTCCAAGGCTGCAGCCCCGTCTCCTTCCTGCTTGAGCTCCTCTGATTCAGGGACATCAGGGTGGGCTTTCATGCAGCCATTTTGGACCTGGAATGGGAGGATTGGAACAAGGACGCCATGATATGGTGGGTTAACTGGAGAGCCATGTGGCAGCATCTGATTGGCTGAGTGTGCCAGGAGCCAGTTCTGATTGGCTGCTGCCTCTGGCTTGCTGCTGAGACCAAGAGTTCTAACTGCCATTCTCACTTTGGACAGCGAAGGGATTGCTAGCTGCCAACTGTCTTGAAGACTAGTCATTTTATGGTGTGAGGCATATTTTAAAGACTATTTTAAAAGGACTATTTCATTCCTCTGCCTGAATTCAGAGTAACTGTAGTATAGATTGTTGTACTGTTTGAACTTCTGAAGTAGAGATACTGTTACTTATTACATAAGACTGAGTGATGTTTCATTATACTGCAGGGTATACCTTGGTTTAAATACTGTGGTAATGCTTCGGCTTGTCTTTATTGACATTTACCAACTCTCACATGGAAGAGCAGAGTACTGTAGAAGTAGTATGGAGAGAGTTTAAAGATAGCACAGACCTATAGAATAACCTTGAGATGGTAACCTAGTTTGAAACCAATGCCACACTTCCCCTCCCATCATTTTCAATGTTATATCTAGAGATCAACAAATTGGATAGAGCAGCAACTGAGCGTATGCTGGATATGGAGGTGAGTGCAAGAGGGGCAGGGCAGGTGGGAAAAGAGGCCGAGGGAGCAGGGTCTGACTTATCTCTGTCACAGGTCCCATTTTGGAAGGAAGGAGGGATGAATGTTCAATCTCTCCACCAGTCCCAAGGTGAGTGAAACCAAGAGGCAATGCTCTCACCTGTCCTTCCTGCTTCTCGTCCTCTGCCCGACTCAGGAGGAAGCCTTCCGCCAGGGCCACCGCCTGGGAAGAGGTCTCTGCCCCACACTCTCGGACCCAGCTCCCCATCTCTGGGGGCAGGATGCTCAGGAACTGCTCCAGGATCACCAGGTCCAGCATTTCCGCCTTGGTGTGTTGCTCTGGCTTCAGCCACTGGCGGCAGAGAGAGTGGAGGCGGCTGCAAACCTCTCTGGGTCCCTCGCCCTCTAGGAAGGAGGAATGCCTGAACTGTATGAGTGAACTATAAAGGTCCACACTCAGGAACGTATGTATTGTTTTCTCCCAGGATTCACCACCGCTCCCAGGTTCTGCTTCATTTCCAGGTGAGTTGGATCTCTCCATGTTGGCACCACTGTTTGGTGAAGAAGCAAACTGGACCCAAGACGCTTTCCTCCTCCTCGTTTCCCTGAACAGGCTCTACTCCAACATTCTCAGACAACAATCACTTTTCCCCTGTGAAAGAAAGGCAGAATTAGACCACCGGCTTTGAGAGGCTTTTCCTTGGAGAGTGAAATAACAAGCTCTTATTTATTGCAGAGCCAGGTGATGCTGGGCCCTCCTTCCACTGGGGCCTCTGCTTCTCCAGACCCACCTGGCCTCCCATTGAGCTCCCCTTCAGTCCCCACCCACACTGAATCCCCCGTGATTCCTGCCACTGACACCACATGATCCATAAACCTTTCTTCTAACGAAAAGTAACGAGATGCTTGATTCAATGAAATCTCCACTCCTTCCAAGATCTTTCCAACTATTACATTGCGGTATTTGGTTTTCCAACCACAGCCCATTCACTTTGCCTGCAAGGACATGTAGGTACCCACACTCACCCCTCTGTATCCACGGATTCAACCCCCTTCAGCTTGAAAACATTCCCTGCCCGCAAAAGCAAGCGTGGCATCTCCCTTTGTTATTTAAGGGATTCTGTTTCACTAGTAACACAATTATAGCAAGTACAGATCTTCAGCCCATTGAAGGGAATCTGGGAATGAGACTCCCAGGAGGAGAGGAAGGCTGCCCATGGAGAGGAGGAGGAAGTGGTCAAGGCAGGATGGCCTGCTCTGGAGGACTGGGCGCCTCCTCCTCCCTGGCTTCCTTCCTTTCTAGGAATCCAATCTCCCTCCCCTTAACCCTTCCTTGACCCCTTCAGATGCAGGGCTGCCTCACAAGCATTCAACTATCGAGGGAAGATACATCCTGTTCAATGTTTTGATCAGAGTCATGCCTTGGGAGGCCTTGGGACAGACTAAACTTTGTCTCTCAATGGGAAGCTCCTCTATTATCACCCAACTCATTCTCATCAATGTGAAGAGAAGTTTTCTCCACTTCAATGGCCTACAGCAGTGCTTCTCACCCTTCCTAAGGCCGCGACCCCTTAATACAGTTCCTCATGTAGTGGTGACCCTCAACCATAATATTATAATTTATTGCTATTTCATAACTGTAATTTTGTTACTGTTATGAATCGTCATTACAGTATTTTCATTCACTGGACCAAATTTGGCACAAATACCTGAAACGCCAAAATTTAAATACTAGTGGGGTTTGTTTGGGTGGAGGGGGGGAGGGGATGGAGTTTGTCATTTGGGAATTGTAGTGGCCGAGATTTATAGTTCATCTACAATCAAAGAACATTCTGAACTTCACCAGCAATGGGATTGAACCAAACTTGACAGACAGAACTCCCATGACCAACAGAAAATTCTGGAAGGGTTTGGTGGGCATTGACCTTGAGTTTTGGAGTTGTCGTTCCCCTACATGCAGAGAGCATTGTGGACTAAACCATGGTGGATCTGGACCAAACTTGGGCTACACTTCCCACACAGAACTCCCATGTCTTGAAGAGACTCGCTGGCACAAGCCTCTCTCCAGTCTCACACGCTCTCCCTCGCCCGCACATGCGCACCACGCTGCCATGCGCCGAGCACGCCTGCTCTCCCCTCCCCTGCTTGGCGTTTCAGAAACTGCCCTCCCCTAGGCTGACCAATCACAGCAGAGGAGAGCTTTTGATGGGAAGAATCGCTGTCAGTTTCCAAAAGGAAGAGAAGGAAAGGCAGAGAGATCTTCAGTCTTCTCTACCAAAGGGGTTCACAAGACCATCAGAAATAATGTGGCGTTTAGCAACCCCTCTGAAATCCCCTCACAACCCCCATCGGGGTCCCGACCCCCAGGTTGAAAATGCTGCTCTATGACCTCAGAGGCCTTCTGCATTGCCATATAAAATCTAGATTATTTGCTTTGAACTTGATAATATGGCAGTACAGACTCATATAACTCAGTTCAAAGCAGATAATGTGGCGTTGTAGAAGGGTCCTCAATCTCACTTCCCCGTCTTTAGTGGTCTGCCATTAGACGGTAACATCACATTGCATCAGCCATCGGATAATCACATGAGATAATATAAGGGACCCCAATGTTCCCATAAAGAACACTCTTTTCTATATTTCATATTCTGGACTTGTTTTTAATGTTTTCCTCTGCCAGATGTTTCCTTTATTTCTGTTTTTGAGTAAATGTCTCTATGCCCCAAACTAGTTGGAAAGCTTGTATTTATTATACAAACTTTAGGATTGTTACTCTACACGGAAACATCTGTTTCCTTACAATACAAAACCCAAAGGCCTATCAAATTTCTCACAGACAATTTGATTCATATATTCAAAATAGGTTATCATAGATTCAAATACTCATATAATACTGTACATTCCAAATTAATACAACGGCTCATGTTTTTCTGTCTACTGTGGATTAGCAGAGTGCCAGGAGCAAGTTAACAGCCAGTAAATTCTAGCTAGAGATACAATTTGTACACATCAAGGGAAATAATAGTGGAAACATCTCTTCCTTTACTATTAGTTGTTTGCGTTTGATGGTCGTTTTATATACTGTTTAATGTTGTTGTTTTGATTTCCTTATATTCTTTCTTGTTATTATTTTGTCGATATGCATTGTAAGGGGACTTTACCAAGTCTGAAGCAGAACTTCTCAAACAGTCCTGTTTGAAATCACATGTTTACACACAAAGGCTGTTTTGCAGCCTGTTCGTATTCACTGTTTTTTGTTAACAGATAGAGTCTGAGTAAAACACTTCCTCTGGGCATTAGTAAGGATTCTCTCCTGTGTGGAGTCATTTTTGGCTCAAAAATTGTGAACTGTCAGCAAAACATTTCCCACTCTCTTGACATAGATATGATTTCCCTCCTGTGTGGGATCTCCAGTGGTCAATAAGGGGTGTATTCTGTGTAAAACATTTTCTACACTCTTGACACTTTTACTCTTTCTTTCCTGTGTGAAGTTTTTTATGCCTCATCAATTGTGAACTCTGAGTAAAACATTTCCCACACTCCTGGCATTTGTATGGCTTCTCTCCTGAGTGGAGTCTTTTGTGTCTCACCAAGTGCGAACTGTAACCAAAACATTTCCCACACTCCTGGCATTGGTACGGCTTCTCCCCTGTGTGGAGTCTTTTGTGCCTCATCAAGCTTGAACTGTTAGCAAAACACTTCCCACACTCCTGGCATTTGCATGGCTTCTCAACTACGTGGAGTGTTTTGTGCCTCACAAACACTGAATGGTCAGCAAAACACTTCCCACACTCCTGGCATTTGTATGGCTTTTCTCCTGTGTGCAGTCTTCTGTGCCTCACCAAGTCTGAACTGCGAGCAAAACACTTCCCACATTCCTGGCATTGGTATGGCTTCTCTCCTGTGTGGACTCTATTGTGGCCCACCAAGAGAGAACTGCGAGCAAAACATTTCCCACATTCCTGGCATTTGTATGGCTTCTCTCCTGTGTGGAGTCTTTTGTGGGTTACCAAGTGTGAACTGTGAGCAAAAGATTTCCCACACTCCTGGCATTTGTATGGCTTCTCTCCTGTGTGGAGTCTTTTGTGCCTCACCAAGTCTGAACTGTGAGCAAAACATTTCCCACACTCCTTGCATTGGTATGGCTTCTCTCCTGTGTGGAGTCTTTTGTGCTTCATCAAAGTTGAACAGTCAGCAAAACACTTCTCACACTCCTGGCATTTGTATGACTTTTCTCCTGTGTGGAGTCTTTTGTGCTTAACCAAGTCTGAACTGTGTGCAAAACATTTCCCACACTCCTTGCACTGGTATGGTTTCTCTCCTGTGTGGAGTTTTTTGTGGCTTACCAACTGTGAACTGGAAACAAAACATTTCCCACACTCCTTGCATTGGTATGGTTTCTCTCCTGTGTGGAGTTTTTTGTGCCCCACCAAGGTTGAACTGTCAGCAAAACACTTCCCACACTCCTGGCATTTGCATGGCTTTTCTCCTGTGTGGACTCTTTTATGCCTCACCAAATCTGAACTGGAAGCGAAACATTTCCCACACTCCTGGCATTGGTATGGCTTCTCTCCTGTGTGGACTCTATTGTGACTCACCAAGGTTGAACTGCGACCAAAACATTTCCCACACTCCTGGCACTGGAATGGTTTCTTTCCTGTATGGATACTCCAGTGTCTGAGAAGTGTTGACTTCCAAGGAAAACATTTCTTACACTCTTTGCATTGGTATGGCTTCTCTCTTGTGTGGAGGTTTTTGCGCCTCATCAATTGTGAACTGTCAGCAAAACATGTCCCGCACTCCTGGTTTATGAAATCCTCAGTTCCTTGAAAGATTTCTTGTTGGCTCAGATCTGGCGGTTTGTAATCAGCAATCCATTTTCCTGATACTTTCAACTGACAATGGCTTTTCCCAGCACTGAGTGTCTTGTGAAGTGTAAGTCCCATATTTTGGGTAAAATACTGCCCACATACATTGCATTTGAAAGGTGTTTCTCTGGCAGAAGCTCCATCTCTCTGGCTTTGCTGGCGTCTAGGAAGGTCCCCATTGTGTCCCAAATGTTTGGTGTTCCGGTTATCTGCTGCGAAGGAGGAGGAAAGAAACAATCAAAATGTGTGAGTGATAAGGACTCTAGGGAAATGGTGCAAGTAGGAGATTGAAACGATCCTTTATACAACATAGATATGGAAAAAAGAAGATATAACTGCCGTTCCCACCCCACCCCTTGTTCAGTTAAGATGGACACTGTTTAACTGCCTGGAGCCTCTAAGGGAGAGGTGTGTAACGTATGCTCCAAAGGCTATGTTTTCCACAGCCTAGTCTGGCTTTGTATTCTGTCTCCTCCTTCCTGGGGGAATGTATGACTTTTCCCTTCTCATTCAAAGGCTTTCCTTTTTCTCTAGCTAAAACTTTGCCTTTCTGTCACCCATTTCACAAT